CCTACCCTCAAGGAAATTACAGCCCAGTTGGGGAAAACAGATCATGAACACATAGCAAATAAATGAAAGGGAACACTTTCTGATACGGATGACTGCTCCAAAGAAATAATCCCGGATGACCTGCCGATATAGGGCTGGTGGCAGTGGTGGTGAGTTATTTCATGTGAGTGTCCAGAAAGGCTTCAGTGAGGGTCCCACGTGAGCGAGGGCCAAGATGGTAAACAACTGCCCATGGGAAGGAGACCTGGAGGAGGGGCATTCCCAACAGCGGCACCGTGAGTGCAAAGGCCGTGTGGCAAGGAGGAGTTTTCTGTGTTCACGAATCAGAAAGCAAGGCAGGACAGTCCCTCAGACTTTATTAGCAAAAACCAGGGGCCATGCCGCGAGCTGGGTATTGGGATGTGACCCTGAAGAAGGCATCACTCCGGCTTCCAGAGGCCATGGAGTAGCTGGACAGACGAACAGAGACTCCATCGGCCTAAAAATGCAATGCTCAGTGGTTTCCAGGATAGAAATAAAGCTCCAGGCCTTCCAACATCTGAAAGGGGACTGGGTGAGTTTTCTCAAGTATCAAAACCACATGATTCTGTGCTGTTCCATGGAACTGCTACATCAAAGCTCAACTTCAACCTGGTACATTTCTCAGATGTTTTATTCACTCATCTCCTCCCCCCACAAAAAAAAGCACCATGCAGTGGCAAAACCTAAAGTCTAGGAAGAGGACAGGGGTGTAGCTCAGCCTCCAGTATTCACGCTCCAGATGAGCCCAGGGAAATATTTGGGGGAATCTATAAACACATGAAACACATTCAGCTAAATCGCCAAGTAACACAGGGACATGCAGTGGAGGTCTCTAATTAATGACACCCACACAGCTGGGCCTCTGGCTCTGCTGCTCTCACTGCCTCCTCAGTGTGCCCATCATCAGAGCTGTCCTGCCCCACTGGGGTGGGGGGGCACTCTTCTCCACCGTGTACCAAGCACTTGTCAGTGGGCATTCTGCCTCAGGTGCCAATGGCCTCTTGCCCACAGCCCGCCTTCTGAGTTGGACCCAAGGCCCTGCAGCTGGGAGCCCACGCCACATGCCGTTTTACACCCCAACCCCCAGCTCAGTGGCCTTCATGTAAGAACCACTCAATAAATCTCTGCTGATTGGCCACAGCTGTATTTTAAAAGCCAATGATGGAGAAATGTGGTAAGGAGACAAATTGAATATAGGCTGGGGATAGTTTGGGTTCGTTTTCATTTGTTCAGTGAACATTCGGAAGCACACGGGGCTCACAGCATTACATGATCTCTGCTTTTCAAGAGCTAGCTGCCCCCCAGTCCACAGGGAGGAAGAAGACAGAGAGTTCAACAACACAGGTGTACACTGACATGAGTGGGGGAGAGATTCAGTACCAGCGTGGAATTAGGAGAAAGAATGCATTGGGGAAGGCTGTTGTACAATGTCAAGGAGCAAAGTCCTGAGTCAGCATCCCACCACTGCCCCTTCTGTGATTTTAGGTGAATTCCCCTCTCTGAGCCTCAGCTTTCTCATCAATAAAATGGGAATAATCAAGTCTAGTTCAGAGAGTTGTTGTGAGAATTAAATGTCACCATGTATAAAAAATGTTTCTGTCAATAACTGGCCAGTAGTTGACAGAATAATCATCTTATTAAAAATTATTATTACTAATGCCACACACTATGGTTTCAAAACTTCCTAGCTGCGCAACCTTAATCAAATGATGTCAATTTTCCACACCGCAGTTTCCTCATCTGCAAATGGGGATAATAATAGCACCTGCATGGTAGGGCTTTTTATTAGGGTTAAATGGTAATATTATGAGGTTGGATGATGGGTGAGATATTATATAAAGTATTTAGAATACTCCTTACCAAATAGTGACTGCTCAACAAACCTTGATTATTATCCATGATTACTGCACATTCTGTTTTATGTAACCTCACCCTTTTGAAAATATGCATATACTATCAGCAGGAGGGCAGAAAGAGTGGGAGACTGCAAATTGTCTGCAATTTTTTTCAGGCTGTCGATGGCATGTTAGGTGAGAGGTTTCCCAATACCTCCACAAGGATCGTTAGCGCTAATTAGATGAGATAAAACATCTTTAAAAGTTTCCTCACACTGGAATCGCTGCTGAGGCATTCACTCTTTGGGGACTAAAAAATCTCCTCCAAAAGTGGAACTGGAGAGAACAAAGCAGAAGAAAAGGAAATCAGAGCAGAAGGCCCTCTGCTGGTTGAGACGAAAACTACAAGCATCACCCTCATTGTCACCCAGGGCGATGTGGACAGGGTGGCTCTGAGGCAGAGCAGAGATGCTGAGGGCCTCCCTCGCTGTGGTTCTTTCTGTGTCATTTGGTCACGTGCTGAACAAAAACAAGAAGGAAAGGAGAGAGGAAAGGAGGGAGGGAGAAAAAAAGAAAGAAGAGACCCACATAGACACACACAAAGCAAAAAAGAAAAATAACCCTGAACCACTAGATTGCTGCAATCTGAAATCAGGTTATATGAGAATTTTACGTAAACAAAATACACTCTAAAATCCCTACTTGTTTCTCTGTACAAAATGCAGAGCCTGTGTGGAGAGTTCAAGGGCTTCCACTCCACCAAGGTCCACCCACCATGGGGCCCTTCCTTGTTCCAGGGCATCAGGGCCTGAGAAGAGCCAGAGTCCCCCTGCTGAGGCGGGAGCATCCCCTGTGCAGGCTCTGATACCCCTGCTGCCCGCTTCCCATCCTAAAGCAGGCCCATGGCCAGTGGGCTGTTGTCAGGCAGACTAAAGTTCCTCTAACCCCCACCCTGTAAGGCTGGACTCACTGGGAGGGTCTTCTCCTGATGTCAGGAAGACCGTCAGCCCAGGGGCGGGCACAGATGGCAGGAGCTGGTCCAGGAGGGCCTTTGCGTGCCATGGCTGGGCTGGGGCTAGACAGGAAGCCCCACCACATCCCATTTCCTCCATCTGCACCCAAACAAGGCCAGTGTGCCTACAGCATGAGTGAAAATGCAGACAAACATGAGTGCCTAAAAGAGACAGGGAGAGGGGCCCCCAGAGTGAGGGGGGAAGAGTAATAGAAAGAAAGACAAAGAAAGAGAAGCCAGCCAGTACATGAAAACCTGATTTTAAAGAGAACCTGCTCCTAACCCAGGCCCATCCCCTGGCTGAGCATCTGCTAACTTCAGACACCCGCTGGAGCGTTCTGGTTCCCATGAGCCTGGGGGATGCCTTTGGAGACCAGATCCTGGCCTGTCCAACACCCCTCATGGTGCCCATAACATGGGAGCTACTGTCAGTCAGGGCTCCTTTGCTATTCCTATTTCGCCAAATCTCTAACAGCTACCTTCCACCTTCCCATTGAAAATACCATCCCATTTCTCTCTAAAATGCGCTCCCTGTGCAAATGTCTCCATTTTATCTCTTGGGCTGTTACTCCTCGCAGCCAAAGGTTAGGGACAAGGGGGGCATCCAGAGAACACTAATGGCATCAACCACATTGCATTAGAAGTTCATTTTTGTTTTTCTCTTAAGTGGTCTGAAATCAAGGCACATTTGGAGCTCCCATTGAATCTCTCTATAAAGCAGATGCACAGTTATTTCAGGGCGGGAGGCAGTTAGATGCTTAACCTTCGTTCAAAATAGTCCCCAAAGGGCGTAGTGGAAGAGGCTGGTTTCAGGGACTAAGGAGTGACTAGGGGTTCGCTGGGGCAATGGGGGTGAGCTCCCCAAAGTCAAAGGCGCACAGGATGCTTGTAGGTCTTGCAGGGTCCTTAAGTCACACACTTCCTTTGGCAATGTCCCGCCAGTGCCCCCTCCTCCCTGTTTTCCATCCCCTGAGTATTGCTTTAAGTGCATCATCCACAAACAATCCAAGCTTAGAAGAACAGTCAGCAGGGGGTCGAACAGTGGACACCAGCAACAAGAATCGTCATGTGCAAAGGATGGGAATACGGTCACGTGGCCTCAATGGCCCCAGTTTGGAAAACTTTATTTAAAAAGGCATATTCCATCAAAAACACATAGGGAAATCCTTCTTCCCATCAACCTTCCCAACTTCCCCCTTAGGCTGACTCTCTCACAAAATTCCGGAGTAAGATTCCATTGCAATCGCTAACCCCGTGTTGCCCTCCTGGGAGTGGTGTAGTTTGTAGGCTCTGGAAATCCAGTCAGCATTTCAGCAGGCAGGGTGGTCAGGGAGACTGTCTTACTACATTACACAAAACACAACCAAGACCCTCCTCCTCCTCCTCCTCCTCCTCCTCCTCCTCCTCCTCCTCCTCCTCCTCCTCCTCCTCCTCCAGTAGCAGTAAACCTTAACCCCACAGGCCAAGCAGGGCCAGACTCGACATTGAACCTCAGCTCCTGACCATAAATGACTTACTGCTGGTGGCCAACACCCAGAGCACAGTTACCCGGACAAATGCTGCTTCCCACAGACAAACCAGACTCATCTCCACGACTTGAGTCGCAGAAAGCCACGCTCACCCAGGAAACGCATGCCCTTCTGCCCACCAGCTGGTGGCCTGGAGGCCCCCAGGAAAGGCCCCCAGGCAGGCCCAGGGCAAAACAGCAGCTCTGCCAGAGGCCGGGGCCCAGCTGGCAACTCCAGGTGCCATGGGCAGAGTGAGGGCATGCACACGAAGCCAGACCCGTCCTTTGGGACGTATTCACTTCAGAGAAGACTGTTCACACCGAGCTCCATCCAGGCCCCAGGCACCATGGCCACCAGCCTGGGAGTCCCACAGTCCTCAATCCTGGCGACCTCCTGGCCCAGCCACCCCTCGTGCTTCCCAAGTCTCGGGCCAAGGAAGCCAGTGCTGGGGAAACAGCTCATCGCCTGAACCTCTGAGAGGTCCCCATGAAACTACCAACATTCCCCCCCGCAGAGCATCCAATCTGGCTCATCTGAGCTCCATCGCACACACTCACACCCCTAGCCCTCTCTCCCCAGCCCCCTTTCAAGTCAATGTCAAGTCACAGAAGTGCAGCTCCCTACCTGAGGGTGGCGCTCTCCCCCTGCCGGACCGTCACGTTGTCCATCGCTTTGGGGAAGGTGGCATCTCCGCTGCGCACGGGCACTCCTGTGGGTACAAGGAACAGCAGCCTGAGAGACACGATCACGAGGCACTTCCAGGGCAGGAACAGGTACCCACAGACCCCCATCCTCGACAGTCACAACTTCCCCGAACTCCTCCTGCAGCCGCGCGGCACACGCCCCCGGGCGAGCACAGGAAGTGGGTGGGGTGGGGGAGAGCTGGGACCCAGCAGCGAACTAGCGGCGATGGAAAGGCGCGGGTTTTTTTTTTTTCTGGGAGAAAAGCGCGCAGACTCCTCCTAGTCTAATATTCCTCCCCCAAAGCCAGCCTCAGCGCTCCGGCCTCGGAGAACCAGAGGGGCTTCCTCGGTGCAGCTTCGGCCGGGGAAAGTGGCCACCGGGGAACGGGCAGCTCCCGGCAGGTGCAGAGGCGTGGGCACGTCTCAGAGGTCCCTTCTTCCCTTGAGCAGCTCCGACATGGCACTTGGGGGTGGCAGAAGCACTTCGGTACCCGAAGGAAACGGAGGGGGGGTTGGGATCCGGCCACCGCAGAGGCAGGCTGCAATCCCTCGCTTCCAGGCGGGGGGAGATGCAACACTTTCTTTGTAAGTTTCAGAGGCAGGATGGCCGGCAAAATGCAATCGGTAACAATAGCGGAGATGGAAAGTGGAGCACGCAGGAGGCAGCGGGGGGTGTGCGAGGAGGCGCGGGCTGCGCAGGGACCAGGCGCGGCGAGATCCTGCCGCAGCCGCCCGCCCGGGTCAACTTCCTCGGAGCCGAGATGCGCGCAGCAGCAGCTGCCGCGATGGAGCAGGTCTCGGTGGAGGCAGTGGCCCCGGCGGTCCAGGCAGGAGCGGCCGGGCGGCGGTGGACCGGACCCAGCCCGCGGCGGCCCCTCGCTCGCTCCCTCGCTCGCTGGGGAAAGCGAGGCGCAGCCGACACCGGAGCCGCGCGGACGCCACGCTCAGCGGCCGCCCCCGGCCTCCGCGCCGCCTTCCTCCCGGGAGCAGCCCCAAAGCGCACGGGCCCCGACCGCCGGGGTTGTCATGGCAGCAGCTCCATCACTGACCGCCACTTTCTCCGGTGCCGGCGCCACGCAAGCGGGCGGACTGCGCGCTCATCCCGGCGGGCGGGCGGGCGGGCGGCGCGGGGCGCGGGCGGGCGCCCACCTTAACCCCCGCCGCGCCGCGCAGCCACCACCGGCGGCCGTGCACCGGCAGAGGCGAGCAGTTTAACCGTTTCCCGCCTTGAAAAGCTGCCACTTCCAAATGAAGAAGGCAAAGTTATCAGGCCCTTTTAATAAGCCAGAGACAGCTTCATCAGGGTCACCAGCGAATGAACGAGGACAGGAAAACCCTGCAGCATGCATGCATGCGCCTTTAAAATGATCCGATTCATTCCATTAGCATGGAGAGTACATTTGGAGTTTGGGGAGGATGTTTTAGAGTAATCTCATTTTTATTCAACAGTCCACACCCATCTCACCACCACCCCGCTCCAAAAAAAAAAAAAAGCTAGTTTAAAACACCACCGTCAACACCACCTTTCTAAATAAATCTTCCATATACAAAACAAACGCAGAATCACAGAAGCCTCTTCGCGTGTGAAACTGACAAAAATCGCATCGAAATCTTGCTCAAGTTCTGACACTGACTTACATTCCTTATTCTGGTTTTGTCGGCATTAAAAGATGCTGGCCCTGCAAAAGTGCCCCCTCCGGATCCAGGGAGCCTCTTCCCTGAGGCTTGCAGAGGGCTCCCAGGTTTCCTGAGCTCACCCTCTGGCAGAAATGATTTCACCTGAATGGGTGTGTTTCTCACATATTTGAAACCTGGGAGAAAAAATGGGATTCGTCTCAGTTCACGCCCGGTCCCCTCTCTGGATGCTGCAGGTCCCTGGGTACCTACATTTTTATTTCTCTCTCAACTTCAGCTCTGATGGAATGTGGTGCACGCTCCTTCCTGGGCCTGGCTCCTGAGCAGGAGGGAAGCCGGAAGCAGCCCAGCCTGCCCAGCTGTGTTAACTCTGCCGTGGGGTCTTGTCCGGGATTTCAGATCCCAGCTCCCTGCACTGACCCATATTCTCCCTGGGGATGGAGAGGCGGCAACCGTGGCTTTCCCCCCTGGACTTTCTATCAAATCTAACCAGGAAGCTTTTTAAAATATATAATAACTGTTCAGTAACAGAAAAATATTGTTTTCCAAGAGCCATCTAGCCAACACCAGAGAGACAGAAGCATTGTAACTATAAGGGTCTTAGTGCCATAAAAGTCCTTGCACCTTGCAAGTAGTAACCACCACGTTCATGTGAGCAGTGAGTGTGTGTTGGGGAGGACACAGCATTTCACCCACCATCTCCCCCTCTCTCTGATTACTCTAGATGGGCAGAGACTGAGGTCAGGGCTGCAGGCATGGATGCCAAACTCCAGGGTAGCAAAGAAAGACTGAGCAGGCTGGCTTTTCTCTCCTAACAGTTGACCAGAAAATGCAAAGTTGAGCAACTTTACATTGAAGATCACAATTGCTCTATCATTAGACCCATTTTCCCTACTGTCCTCTGGTGACTTTCTGATATTAAATTTTCAGGGAAACCCATCTACTGTGTGTCGCTCCCTGGGAACATTTGATATATCACCTAAAAATCAATTGTCAACTTACAGCCACAAGGAAAGACTTTACTACCAGGGGGGCGTGGGGAGGGGAGCATTTATGGAGAGCAGGAGAAATTTGTTTCTATTTTTTAAAGAAAGGGGTGATAATTCCCCTATTTTAGCATCAGTTCATTCTTGCAAGACCCTATTCCATCACTTTTCTACAATGGGAAATTGTGGAGATAGGAAATTGAATGATTTCACCAAGTTCAGATATTTCGTGATAACAGAATAAGGTGTGAGATTATGTTTGCTGACTTTCCGTTTGCTGAATTGGGGGTTCTTCCTTCCCGAAAACCCAAGAAGCCACCTCTAATCATCCATCCATTTTAACCACCCCTATTCCTCCCTACCAAACCCTTTGTAAAAGCATCCTTACTGCCTCCTGTGGACACAAAGGCCAGCCATGAGGGAGAGGGACTCCTTGTGTCTTTGGAGCCATTTCCCTGCAGGCTGGAGAATGGCAGCGATGATTCCTTTCATGATCAATTCTGATCCTGGCTCTTGCATCTAATTCCCAGGTAGGTACAAATGAGCATTAGTTTTTGCATCTAGGAATGTGGATAATGACAACAACAGGCCTTCCCGAGGGGCCTACATACATGATTAACTCTACAGTAAAATACTTAGAAATCTATTTAAGGTGGAAGATGCTCTATTAATACATTTTGCCTGCTACCAGTTCATTATTATGTCTGGGCAGAAAAATAATTCTTCTCACGGGCTCTTTAAGATGTTCCGTTTATACCAGTCTGCATGCAGTTGATCTCTGGCTGCATGACCATTTCTGGCTCTGGCCATGGCCCTGGAGGGCTGGTGCTGAGCTGAGGCATCCCAGCCCTGGCTGAAAGGAGACCCAGCCCAGCTCAGATGAGGCTCAGGATGAGCAAAGTAAAACCCCCCGCAGCCCCATACCTGCTCTCTGGACCCAGGGACCCAAACTTTCTTCAAAAACAGAAGTTTAGAAAGTGGAGAAAGGCCGGAGATGCCCCCACAATGAACAAGGCAGAACCCATCCCTTCCAAACTCGTTATGGAAGTGGTTTGAAGAGATGAAGATCCGAATCACATGTCAACTCCCTGCCCATCCCCTAATCCCTAAATATAACCAACATTTAGCGGCTTATCTTATATCCTGTCTCTGGCTTCATGAAACTGCTGGATTTGCTTTATTTCCCCAGCATATCCAAGTTAATGAAAAAGGGATGACAGTCAGAGCCATTTCATTATTTGTGCTCTTTATAGAAACAACTTCCTTTCTGCCTCCTGGAAAGCAGACTCCTAAGGAGCACCCACCTCCACCTTCTTCCCCGTCTCCCTGTCCTTCCTCCCTTCCCGCTCACATACACCCATACTGTACACATAAATCAACTTGTCACAGCTTGTCTCGGCGCTGACAGCTGTAATTGCTTCAGGTTATAAAAATATCTACAGGACAATGCCTTTCAAGCACACGCACCGCACACACGCGCGCACACGTACACACGGAGTGAGCAAAAGAAAACAATCCTATTGCCTTTAATGATCCCATGACCGCAAAGCAGGGGTGAGCAGGCGCTGGCCTGCAGACTGCGAGGGCTGGCAGGCAGGGGGGGAAACAGAGGTACGGGGAGGGTTCTGGCAGACGGAGAAGCATCTACGCGCTACAGCAGGGTTGGAACGGGAAGGATTCCAGCGAGAGGGAAATCAGCTGCTGTTTTGTTTTACTCGACTACCTACAGCAAGCCTGGGTTAGTTAAAGAGCTGTGACTATGCCACACAGGAGCGCTCGCTTAAGAAATGCCAGCTCCTCTCCTTCTCTAACAAGGCGAAAGGCCCCCCTCTCCTGGTGGAGATTCCAAATTGGAGCGCAGGCAAGAAGAAAGAAGATGATAAATGCAGGGCGGTCAGCGTGGCCTGGCACCGAATAGATATTGGAAGCTGTCATCAGAAAAGGCGGGGCCGATCTGGATAAAGAGAGGCCTCCAGAGGAGTAGGGCAGGGCTGGACTTTGGGAAAACTACTCACCATGCTTCCTCTTGGATGACTATAGGGTCAAGATAAAATGGTCCAGCTGGGCTGGCCTCTAGCTTGTTAGGATTTCAACAGGAAGAGCAAAAGCAAGGAAGAAGGCTCCACAGAGAAGAAAGAGAGAGAGAATGGAGAAGGAGGAGAGAAAGAAATGGCAAAGGTTAGACGACCTATGGACTCCGAAAGCCATAAAACCTCATAAGAGATGTCTAAAGTGCAGAGGCCTGTGGACTGAAGGTTCCCAGGTTCGATTCTGCTCAAGGTACCTGCCCAGATTGCGGGCTTGATCCCCAGCAGGGGGCGTGCAAGAGGCAGCCAAACAATGATTTCTCACTCATCATTGATGTTTCTCTCTCTCTCTCCCTCTCCATTCCTCTCTGAAATCAATACAAATATTTTTTTTAAAGGAAAGTTAGAGATACTAAGACGGAAGGCACTGCCCTCAAGTTGCTTGTAGTATTGTGCTTTGGGGCTTGCGGGTGGTTTTCTTTGTTTAGGGATTCAGGATTGAAGTGACACTGACCTCAAGCCCAGGCTCCCTGTAAGCCCTTGAGAACATTCACTGCTGAGAACAAGCTGAGACGGGCCTCCTCTTGGGAACACTTTGTCCCTTTACACTTGTCCTGAGAGCCAGACACTGACCATGGCTACCTAAGCTTCATGTAGAATGGCTTTTGGAGGGGAAGGGATGCTCTCAAGGATGTATAAATGTAGGGAAGAAATGCATGGACCCAGGAAACAAGTGTTTCTTCACCCTGGATGCCAGCTGGGCTCCGGGTGGTGGGTTGAAGCTGTGGAGGAGGGAGGCTTACCCTGAGGAAGCACTCTTTGTAGCCAGAGAGGCAGGTTTTAAAAGCAGTGAACTGCCACGTGTTCAAAATGGAAACCATCCCCACACGCCATGATATTTTGAATTTAATTTAAAAAATCAATTTGCAATGAATCTTATAACAATAAATATATTCCTCACAATTCGTGTGTTCTTGAATATTTTCAGTTGACAATTCTCACGAAAAATGATTTTGAAAGTTGGTCAGGGCTGCCACTTAGGGAAAACATCTTTTTTTATTTCTTCCAAAGAACAATTTTTAATGATTTTTACATACACAGTTGGAAAAAAAGTATTACTTACACTTAGTTATTATTAAAAAAAATTAAAATTGCCTCAGTGTATGATAAAGTTCGAAACACAATACAACACATAACGGA